GTTTATTTTTGTTTCTTCCTTTAATAATCACCAGGTATAAGAAAAGAGAGGAAACTTGTCTGTGCATATTCTTCTGAGGATCTTGGAGGAATACTTGTGAGTTACTAACCTTAGTAACTTAGGTCCCCAAGTTTTTTGGTATAGGTATTGTGAGGTTGTTATTTTGTGGTGCCTCAATTTTAAGTGAAGAATTTATTATTTGGGTCACTATGTTGTCTGAAGGTGCCAAATTATTTTTAAAAAGTGGAGTTCTAAGATTTTTGAGTTCTTCCATCTGCCCTTAATTTTCTTAATATGTTAATTGTACTGTTTTCAGAGGTTGCCTCTGTTTTCTTGTTTTGGCTGTAATTTTTAATAGATTGCTGTAATTCTATGTGGAAAATCATAGGTAAATTGATTGTTTGGGAACATCGCTTTAAAATTTTCCTAATTTACTCAAGTTTCACAAGAGTTAGATTCAGATTGGTTGATTGAATTTGAATTGATCAAGCTTCTGACAGCAAAAAATTGGCTATAAATTCTGAATATTTGGTGAAATTGGCATTCTGGAAAATAATGGCTTTCTTATATTGTCTATTAGTTTGGTTGGAATTTCAGCTAAATTTCAAAAAATCGGTTAATAATCGAAAGAATTTAAAGATTGTATAGTAGTTAATGGAAATCTATTTTTGTAGTGAGGTTTCAGTAAGGTGTTGGCATTAGGAAGCTGGACTTATTTAATAAGGCGATATTAGAAAAATGGCTATTGAGATGCACACTAAAGAGGCTTAGTCTTTGGAGAAGATTGATTGAGGGGAGATATGGCAGCTTGCTTGGTGGGTAGAGGATTTATACTAGTAGAGGTCCATATGGGGGTGGGCCTTTGGAAGAGTATTCTCTCAATTTTTAGTTTCTTTACGTTAATTATTGGCATTTGGATTGATAACCAGAGCTTCTTATGGAAATTATTTAGTTTTTCATTCCTTTACTCATCAATATTTAGACCCTTTTTTGTTTTTTGTCTCAATTTTGTTCGTTCGTTGGTAGGCTTATCTAGATCGCGATCTTAACAGTTGGATTGTTCAGTATATGAATTTTAGTATTGTTTGGATTGGTGGGTACGGTTTAGATTTTGATAAATTTGTTTAGATTTTGATAAATTTGTTTGAATTTTGCAAAATTGATATGTTTATTGACCTTTTCTTTGGCCATTTTGTTGTGTCCAATTCGTTAAATTGCCACAATAATGAAATTTTTGGGAATTCTTCTGAATTATTGTTCATTTGGTCAATTGGGTCAGTATTGTTTTGGTGAATTTTGGTTTGAATTTGTGATTTGGTTTTTCAGGGCAGGGGTTTGAATTCAATTCCTCGGGAAATGGGGGTTATGTCTAGGCAGGTTTTGCCCATTTGTGGTAAAGTCTGTTTCTTCTATCCTTCCCTGCGGCCAAGGTCGAGACAGCCTGTGAAGCGGTACAAAAATCTTCTTGCTAATATCTTCCCTCGGTCTCAGGTGTTTGCCCATTTGTGGTAAAGTCTGTTTCTTCTATCCTTCCCTGCGGCCAAGGTCGAGACAGCCTGTGAAGCGGTACAAAAATCTTCTTGCTAATATCTTCCCTCGGTCTCAGGTGAGTTTTAACTTCCCTTGTATCAGGTTTACTTGATTGTTATGTCTCTTTCAAGTAATGTCAATCATTTTTGTTGCTTCAAAGGTCAGTTGACGTGACTTTTTGCGATTCTTGTGCTTCTGTATGTTGTGAAGTTCTCCAAAGTTGTCTGTGCGTGAACATTCCTTTTCATATTACTATGAATTACTATTTAGCGTTGACTGGAAGGAATTTTAATGGCCTGCTGTTTCAATAGCCATTAGGTGGTCATAGCTTAAATTTGTGAGACATTTTTATCTTGCAACGGTTAACATGGACTGCATTGAAAGCCGCTGGTGCACCACAAGCTTACTGTAGAAAAACCCTCAATGCTAAAAAGAAACAAGCATCTATGCAACTGGAGCAAGTGAACATAGATAGCTATAAGGACCGATTCAGCACTCTTCTATTGGTGTCCACCCTCGTTGCCACTGTAACTTTTGCAGCCAGTTGCACAATACCTGGTGGCCATAGCAACAATTGACCTGACCAAGGCATGCCAACTATGCTAAAACACAAGTGGTTTCACATGTTCATTTTCTGCGACACCATAGCCATGTATGGCTCCATTATGTGTTGGAGATATGTGGTTTTGTTCTTGTTTCTCCCCACTATGTACTCATTTTATTAATAAATTTGTTGTTGGTAAAATAAAAAAAAATTAAAAATAAAGAAAAAGAACTCATCTTGTATATATAGAAATTTTCTAAATATGCATTGGGTCTAACTAGCAGAAAGAAATACGTAGAGAAAAATCAATGCATGGCTTAGATTTATTCTAAGTGCCGAGGGAATTAAATTCAAAATAAAATGAGGTACATATTGATTTTTTTTCCGGTAAAATTCATTTTATCCTTTGTGGTTTAATAAGATACCCTCATATGGTTTTGGACTAAATTGCAACACCTAACTCTATTAACAAAATTAAAAATTTACTATTTTACCCTTTTGAACAAGTATGTCAACTAATTACATATACACAGGTTTACACAAAGGATTTTACTGAGTTAATTCATTATATATACATACATACACAGGTTTATATATACACATTACATAGAATTTCCCTTAATACATATATATATATAGGTTTATTTATACACAATTTTATACATGTGTATATATAATCAAATTGGGTATTGATTTGGTTGAATATTGATTAGTCTGACCATAATTGCTTGAGTGTGAGGTACGAACTCCGTTTATTTGGACGGAAATATTGACGATAAAGAGGTAGATTGTAAAACGATCCAAATCACATGGAGATAATTGACTTTTTTAAAATAAAGGAGATAAAGTGCTTCACGGTTAAACCACTAAGGGGATTAAATGAATTTTATCCCTTCTTTTTTTTTGTGCATGTAACATTGTTGGAAAAGTTAAGGGCGAGAGGGTTAAATTCATCCAATTAAGCAATTAAAAATAAGGTTGCTACTCACAGTCCAAACTTGTGTCCAACTTGAATTTTTAAGGATTTGACAATATATTTTTAAAATATAGGTTTATGCAGCAATGAAGTGAGCCTGAATTAAATTCAAGGCTAGGCGTAGACAAAGATTTTCAACAACTTGAAACCTAAATTACAAATTTAAATATATATATATAATTATTAAATATACATATAAATTATTATAATTTCAATTTGATTTGCATTAATTGAATTGTTTTGACTTTCTTTGTTTTTTTCCTTCTTCAAATTACTAGGAGACGGAATTGAGGATTGGAGACTAAAGAAGTGAATGAACTACTGCAACGTTCGTTTTAAGTTTATGTTTGTGTTAGTAAAAATTTTGTTAAGTCTTGATCGACAGAGATTTAATAATAATTTTAATAAAACAATCAAACAGAAAACCAGACAAATATGTAAAGGTTCTATTGTCTTAAAAGTACAAGTACTTTTTTGAAATAATTAACAATCGAAAGAGTGAAATAAACACATACATTTTTTTTATTGAAATCTTTTAAGTTTATAATGTTACAAACTATTGAAAGCTATTACTAAAAGTTAAGATATTCCTAATAATAATAATAATAATAATAATAATAATAATAAAGACTGATGAGTTTGATTGTTTCTCTGTTTCATCCTTGCCAATTATAGGCTTGAAACCGTCCTTTTGTAACTGCTGGAAGCAGCCCACTTTCACATCAAGTTATATTCCACTACTTCACTTTGTAAGCAACATCTTCCATAGTCACCCACGTTGCCAAGTTCTTTGCTCATCTTGGATTCTTTGCACATCATGGGTTCACAACCACCTTTATGCCCCACGTCTGCTACACACTGCACAAAAACAGTAACAAAAACAACAACAATAATAATAATCATAACAACAAAATATGCTCATAATCACTTAAAACTAAAATTGATAGGCCACAATCAATAAAATTAGATTTGGCCATGATCGACAGGCCACAATTAATAAAATTGAATTTGGTCACAATCTATGCTACAATTGACAGAAAATAATTTATAGTGCAAACAGTTTGTAATGTGCACTTATTGCCTATCACTTAGGATTATTGGCCAGTCTAGCCTAGTGATATTCGCTTAGAGCAATTTCAACCGTACTCTTCATTTTTCATTAGCTAAAATATAAAAAATGTATGTTCTTTATTTTACTTAATTTCTTTTTTATTTATGTACTCCAACGTTACTATTTATTTTACCTATCTATATACACAAACCGTTTAAAGAGCTTCTCAAGACTCTTCAAATGTAGCTAATTTTGAAAAAATTTGTTAAAATAACTATTGTAATAGTTAGTCCATTGGAATGACTAAAATATACGGATGATTGGTATAATAGCTAACAAGTTTCATTTAAAGAGTCCATTGAAAATGTTCTTGGTACTATTAATGTGGCTAGGATGTTTAATTTGTTTTGATGTTATTTCATAGTTGATACTTATGTTTCTTACTTTGTTACTTGTTAGGATGTTTTATAAAAATTCAACTTAAATTTGTGGGTAATTCAGGCCTAGCCCAAGTTCAATTTATTAAGCTCAAACTAGCCTTGGGCACACAAAATTAGGTTAGAGATTGGACTTGGGCGGGGTTAGAGAACTCCAACTTTTTCTTCATTTACGACCAACCTTACCACTAGAATCAACGCTTAAAATATATGTGGGCAAATTATTTGGACCACTAGTCTTTGTATTTTTATGTAAATTTTTTGTGACCAATGTGATTATTGATTTTTCAATAAAATGAATCGTGAATCACGAGACTTTTACTATAATATCATGTCAAATTTATTTTTCAAACTTTTAGGCAACAAAAAATAATGAATCTTAAACTTATGCTATAAAAAAGCAAAACAATCTTAAAATTGCCAACTTTTAATTAATTTAGACAAATTATATTAGCAGTCTTTATATTTTTACTTTTATGTCATTTTTGTTTTTATAATTTCAATGGATTCGATTTTGATCAGAATTTATAATTTTGTCTCAACTTAGTTGAATTAATTACAACTTCTAGTTTTTTTTTTTTTTTAATGAAAAATGGGCACATGAGTGACCCGTGTTATGCTTTTATAGACCGAAAAATTGTAAACTTATTCAATTCAATAAATTAACTTCAATCAATTCAATAACATTTTCTTTCAAGAACCCTAATCAGTATTATCAATTGAACCAAATTAATACAAAATTTAAAATTAAGAATTCAAAATCGGGCTTATTGAAATTATTCAGACTAAAAATCACACAAGGAACAAAATGTAGAGATTACCAATATAATTTCCCATTTGGTGTATGGAAAATCATTACTAATAGCTTTGGGACCACTGGAATTAAAGACAGAGACTTGCTGTTGTGAACTTGAAAGTCATGATGGCTGATGGAGAAAATTACATAGTTGTCGTGCTTGACCACCACCACTATAGTAAGACTTAGAAGTGTGTATAAGAATGAATAATAATAGATTTATTCCTTCTCCATCTATCATCAAACTACTATCCTTCTTACTCTCCCTTCATATCTCTCTGAATCCTCCAACCTATAAAGAAAACAAAATGAGTTGGCTTATGTTTCTTCATCAATTACTTCTGCTATTTCTCGTCCTCTTCTTCTTCTTCTTCTTCTTCTTCTTCTTCTTCTGCATGCCATACCTGCCTTGAGGACCACAGATTTTCACTTCTCCAATTTAAAACAACATTTACCATAACTGCTAATGCCTCTTTATATTGCGGATTTGGTTCTCATATTCCTAAAATGGTGTTCTGGAATGAGAGTACAGATTGCTGCTCGTGGGCGGGGGTCACGTGCGACTGGTCGAATGGTCATGTGATTGGACTTCACCTGAGTTGCAGCCACCTTCATGGCACCATCCATGCCAACAACACCCTCTTCCACCTTTGTCACCTCCAAAGCCTCAATCTTGCCTTCAATGACTTCAATTTCTCTACAATTTCACCTGATTTTGGCTCGTTTGCAAGTTTGACCCATCTCAACCTCTCTTCCTCTAATTTTACCGGCCGAATTCCTTCAAAAATTGGCCATCTATCCAAATTGATTTCCCTTGATCTCTCTTATTTAAATGATTATTATTATTGTTACTATGAACAACACACTTTCAATATGATCCTTCGAAACCTAACCCAATTAAGAGAACTACACCTTGGTTGGTTGAATATCTCTTCACCTTTACCTCATGCGTTGCTAAATCTATCTTCTTTGACATCTCTCACTCTTGCTTATTGTTGCGTGGGAAATTCCCAAAAAAAAAATTTCACCTTCCAAACCTACGAAAGATCAACGTATGGGCAAATTGGGACCTCACAGGTAAACTTCCATACTTCAATGTGACTAGTTCCCTTCAGTTTCTTGATCTCTCCGAGACAAGTTTTTTTGGCCAATTGCCTAATTCAATCAGCAATCTTAAAGCCCTGAATATTTTGTACCTCTTTAACTGCAACTTTCCGGGGTCCATTCCAGCTTCTCTTGGGAACCTTACACAAATTACCAATCTAGGCTTCGCGGATAACAGTGTCGGCGGTCAAATCCCCTCATCAATTTCAAACCTTGTAAAGCTTAATGGCTTGTATCTTGACGGAAACAATTTTAACGGACAAATACCGGATTCCCTTGGCAACATGAGCCAACTTACTGACTTGTTTCTTTCTAGAAATCAGCTAACTGGTACAATACCATCTTTGTTGTTTGCTCTGCCTTCACTGGTTGTTATAAATTTGAGTAACAATAACTTAAGTGGTGTAGTGGAGCTAGATAAGCTGCTTAATCTAAAATATTTGTCCTATTTTGATCTCTCATATAATGGTCTCTCATTGAACATCAACAACAGTGTCAACTCTACCTTGACCACCTTTGACACTGTACGATTAGCTTCTTACAACTTGAGCGAATTCCCAAACTTCTTGAGAGAACAAACTAGATTGCGTTCTCTAGACCTTTCAACCAACAAAATTCATGGTGAAGTTCCAAAATGGTTATTCAATGTGGGGAAAGATTCATTGCAAAATTTAAATCTTTCTTATAATTTCCTTATAAGTTTAGAGCATCTTCCATGGAAGAATCTATGGTATATTGACCTGCACTCCAACTTACTCCAAGGACCACTCCCTATTCCACCTAACACCACAATTGTTTTCTCTATCTCAAACAATAAATTGAGCGGGGAAATCCCTCCATTGATTTGTGGTCTGAGTTCACTTCTAGTTCTTGATTTGTCTAATAACAGTTTGAGTGGCTTGATTCCATAATGTTTGGGAAACTTGAGCAACAGTCTCTCAGTGCTGAATTTAGGGATCAATAGCTTTTCTGGCACCTTTACTACAACATTTACCAAAGGCAATTTGCTAAGGAATCTTAACTTAAATGGCAACCAAATTAAAGGACAAGTTCCACGATCTTTGCTCAATTGTGAATACTTGGAAATTCTAGATCTTGGAAAAAACAAGATAAACGATACATTCCCCCAGTGGTTGGAAACTCTTACAGAATTGCAGGTTCTTGTCTTGAGGTTTAATAGGTTTCATGGTCACATAGGCACCTTCAAGACCAAGAGCAAACATCTGTTCCCTAAGTTGAGAATTATCGACATATCTTACAATGAGTTCACTGGGCTTTTGCCAACAAACTATATCGAACAATTTGAAGCTATGACGAATGTGGATGAACATGAATTGAAATTGAAATACATGGGTGAATACTATTATCAAGATTCTGTGGTGGTAATGATGAAAGGATATGAAATTGAATATTCAAGAATCTTAACGGTCTTCTCAATCATTGATTTATCAAGCAACAAATTCCAATGAGAGATTCCGAAATCCATTGAGAAGCTTAATTCGCTTCGAGGTCTTAACTTATCTCATAACAACCTTACAAGCCATATCCCAACTTCACTTGGAAAGTTAACAAACCTTGAATCATTGGACCTTTCCTCAAACGAGTTTGTTGGGGAGATTCCGTAGCAACTGGCAAGTCTTACGTTTCTTGAGGTACTAAATCTTTCAGACAACCAACTAGTGGGACGAATTCCTCAAGGGAGCCAATTTAAAAAATTATTGAAGGAAAACAATATAAGAAGGTGAAAAGGTCCAAGAAGAGTGCCCACTGATGCAGTAAAGGAAGAAATCAACAAAAAAACAAATGGCGTCATTTAGGTAAGTAGAATTTATCTTTGAAGCATTACTTTGTTGAATTATCTTTTATGGTTTTTATGTATATGCTATTATTGAGTTGCTAATGTTTTTATTTCAAAACTAAATCAGTTCCATTAAGTGGCACAATAAAGCAATGGCATCCACTTGAAGGGATGTCTCATGTAGCTGTTGCATTTGAGTCCATGTGCATCCGGATAGTAGCTATACAGGATCACTTCAAAAGATTTTACTTATGTTGTTTAGTTTTCTTAAAGCACAAGTCAAATAAGAGTTGCATATCATGACTCTTTGTTTCTTTTCTCAGAACCTTTAAGGATTTGTTCTTTTTTTTATGTAGTTGCTTTTAAGTTGGATTGCAGTCAAACTTGGCCTTTATGTGTTTTTTAACTCTAAAATGCAATCTTAAAAGTTACAACTCAAACCATTCCCCTTGTTTCATTCTTAATCATTTTTGAATGACAAAATTGTTGGCTACTTGATAGAGAATTTGCACTGAAAATAATGATGTGTAACTCCATTTTAAAATATTGCCAAGTTTGCTTGTTGGGAGGTAAAAGCATCCTCAATTCAATGGCGACTAAGGGATCACACTGGAGATATAGTCTAGCACTTGTTTCTATTGAGATGTGGGAATTTTGTGATTAATTACAGTAGGAAAATGGTGATTCTGAGAGTATTTGTTCATAAGCAAGAAAAGAATCATGGAAATACAATCAACAATGGGGTTTACTTTTTTCAATTGTGATAGCTTGGTGTACTATATTGTTGTATTTTCTCTACCAATACAATAAACTATTAACTGAAGTCTAAATGATTGTTATAAACATTAAAAAAGAAGATGGCAGTTATTTGTAAGTCAACTGATCTTAATGTGTCATGTTGTTCCCTTCAATTTGAATGTCCGAATTCCACAACCAATCCGGATATTCAAACTGGAGTTTAGTTTAGTACAAGTAATAGATGTTTGTCACATTGACACTTTTTATAAATTAATAATTAAGATTTTGTCTACTTATTTACAAATTCACAATTATATCCAAATAAAAAACTTGACCCAATATTTAATATGTTAATGGATAGACAATCTGAGTGCTCAAACAACATTTTTTAGTCCATATTCAAATTGGAAAGAAGCCGTTCTCTTGAATTATCTACAGGAGCAATGGATAATTTTTCTTCTCAAACTAATTTTCTTCTGACCAACTACCTAATTCAATCAACAATCTTTGATCCTTAAGTAGTTCGTATCTCTCTTATTTTGCAACTTTTTAGTATTGCAATTTTTTTAATAATAATTTTGTTATTATTTTTACCATAGTAAAACATGTCAGTGAAATAAATTATTCAACAACATAACATTAAAATTAAAATAAAATGACATTAAAATATTATGTTTTTATTTTAAACTATACATCCTAAAATGATATCATTTTAGTTTAGCTTTAAGCTTATAAGATATATTCATCCACTTTTTAGGGTCCATTAGAGATTGCACAACCAACTTTAACATTTCTAAAAACAATTAAATGAATGGATATCAGATATTTCTTGAATAATCTTAAGATTGTATTTCGATCTTAAATTTATGAAAAAATTTGTGTAGTTGTGAAGAAACACTACTATAAAATCATAAATAAATCACACTTTTTGTATGAGATATATGTTATTTAATCACACTATCGAAGTGTTATCTTTGGAAGTGATTAAAAAGTCATTTTTAATCACACGTTTTGAGTGCCATCAAAAGATGATTTCATGACACGTTATACGTGTGATAATAAATATTTAGATCACACTTTTTATGTGTGATAATTAATATTTAGATCACACTTTTTATGTGTAATGTATAACTAATAAAACTTGTGATAATAAACATTTAGATCACAAATAAAACATGTGATTAAAAATGAGATACGATCACACACGTTATATGCATTTCTCATCACAGTTAATGATAAAAAAAAGGTTTGATGTATTTGAAGAATAATCAATATTATTTTTGTACGCATTTGAAGAATGTAAGATGCACTATATACTATCCCTTTGAATCACAATCACATATTGAATGGAATAACATGATATATTTCATAAATGAAAGTTGAATATTCAAAAGTATATACAAAGCTTTAACCAATCTTCCAAAGAAATCCTTTGTCATCTCCACCCCCTGTTGCCACTAATGTACCATCTGTTGGGCTGCATACAACCATGTACAGTTCACCTACGCTCACAAATAGAGAAGAGAAGTTATCTCTAGAAACTCAGTACTACGATGCATTGCAAAGTCAGAGCATAGTTAGTTGTCCATAACTATTCTAGGATCAAAAGCAACCAAACAAGTGCATGTGGTTCACGAACACCAATTAATAGAGCACACTGATTTTCCTACCTCAGTATAGTAAGAAATCCCATAGCTGGTAAGTGGAAAATAAAGAACACAATCAACAAAGACACACGTGATTAGGCTATATTTGATTCGAATCTAGCTATATCAACCAGGACAATTACCTTCATATCACAAAAAACCATAACATTGGAATGGTGAGAACTCATTGGACCACCTTAAGAAACTCAAATCAAAAGTAGATGAATTACTCTAATCAATATTACAAGAATCATACAACATACACTACGGATGGGAAATTCTAGTTTCTATTTCTCTCATGACTATGGAACAAAAATATAAAAAAGATACTTATATATGTGCCTGCCTGCAGATGTAATCCTATTTTGTAAAACCTTTAAACACCCAGCACTCACTTATGAACAGCCAGTTAACATCCACTATTACACTTTCTACAGTGAAGCACCCATTGGAACTGTCAAAGAGAACACTTATACCCCACGTGTATCATGTTATCAAATTCCACCAACACAACTTGTATGACACCAATAAATATTAATAAAAACCCAACCAAACACCATACTACAGCATTCACGCCAAACGCCAATCGCCAATCAATACAAATATGAGCATGGATTAAAACGAATCAAGTGAACAAGGAAGGAAAACAGTGAAATGCATACCCAAGACAGTGATTCCACTCGAAACTCAAATGGTGTGACGGCTTGCAATTCTGCAATCCATTCGAAACATTCAGGTTTGCTGTAATCAATCAGCAAAATACTTCAAATCTCCATCAATACATTTATTCCTTAGCAGAACAGATCATAAAAAATAAAAACCCTAAATCTAGAACAAAAATCAAAACACATTTACTCATTTCACAGAAATCAAGATTCGACAGCATCAAAAAATAAAATAAAAACCCTAGAGCTAGAGTGAAATAGGGAGAGAGAGAGAGAGAGAGAGAAACCTGAATCAAAATCTATAGGAGGCGAGACGGTGTACCAACCGTGGCGATAAGACGGTGAGCCACAGTGAGGGACGGTGATTGCCGTCGATGAGAGGGACGATGGGCGATGGGCAACTGTCAGTCAATGGGAGGAAGAGCGATCGGCTATACGAGAGGGAGGGCAAACGATGGCCTGTTTGTCGTCTGGTTTGCTCTTTGTGCATGTATCATAGACACAGATAATAAAGTTATAAAAATAAATAAATAAATAAAAGATATAGACTTGGGTTGGTTTGACATTTCTTAAAAAAATCAAAAAATTATTAAAAAAGTTAAAAAAATTTTACTATTTATCAAAAAAAATATAAAAAATTAATTTTATATAAAAAAAATACCACTCACTACTCACATGAGTTGTACTTTAGCTGACTTTGGTTGGACAAAGGGAATAGGCAAGTGCATAAACAAAACGGTGTTGTTCGGCTTATGGGGTCCATCACGGATCCCGTTTTGATAATCTGAACCGTTCAATGTGTAAAACTCGTTGAGTACTATACATTTATAAAAAAATCACGTTAATCGAATATCGCTAACTATATGATCAAATCAGTTTTGTATAAAAAAATGGATGGTGTTATAGTTAACGGTTGACAAAAAAATTAATTCGATCAGATAGCTATCGATATCCGATTAACGTAATTTTTTACAAATATATAGTACTCGACGAGTTCTACACATTTAACAGTTCTGATTAGCAAAACAAAACCCACGGTAGGCCTCCACGGGTCGAACAGCACCATCCAATTCAATGCCCGAAAAGGAGGCAAGCATCTCCTATACATTACTCTGCATAATGTTGCCACCGTACTGCCTACTCGCCAAAAAGCTTCTCCTATACACTAATTTATACAATTTTTAATACACATTTTTTCATAAAAAGTCAAAAAAATTATCACAAACAACCATTTTTTTTTCTCAACTTTTTAGTCCAAAACGTGTACTTATTTAGGACATCTCAAACAACCTCTTATCAATCTAGTTTTTTTTATCACACTCTTAATAAAAATGAGATATTTTCATTTGTCAAAATGTGATTTTTTATTATTTATGTAGTAGTGAAAGAAAATACAGAAAATAAGGATAGTTTTATTAGGCACTATCAAGTGGGTGAACTAGTTTTCTTTTTCCAAATATCAAAACTTGAATAAAAGATAGTTTTAATGCTTAAAGTATGCGATCTTTTTTATCTTTGTCCCTTAAATTTCAATTTTTGTTATTTTGATCCTTAAAATAGTCAGTTTGAATCAATTTGGTCATAGCTCTTACATCCGTGTATATTGTTAACGGGAGCAATATGGCTAAAAGACAGCTTTAGCCCATAAAGTTATTCTTATCATTTTAATCCCTTAGATTTTAATTTTTTATCATTTTGATTCCCAAAGTTGTCAATTTAATCCTATCTCCAATCATATTATGCCACATGTCTATTTACCTTGAATATATGTGGGTGTTTGGGAAGTGAGTTTTTTCGTAGTTTTTTTTAGTTATATGATATTATTAGAGAAATTTTTTTTTTTGTGTTTGAGAAGATAGTTAAGTTTTTTTGTGGTTAGATGTAATGTTTGTGAAATAAAAAGTGAAATGATTATGAGGTTTAATGTGATTTTTTGTTTGGATTTTTTTTTTTTTTTTGGTTTTGTAACTACTTTGTCTTTTAGTGAAAAAAAATCACAAAAAAACCACAAAAAAATCTTTTCCAAACACCGTCTATATCTTATTATACTGTATAACCATACACAACTTTGTCACACCCCAATTTTTAATTACTCGGAATCATTACCAAAAGTATTTAATTTAGGCCCATTTTTTTAAAAAAAATAAATATCTATTACCCTTGAGTAATAGAAACATAGGCTTGGTTTGGGAAGTGGACTAGCTTTTTGGCTTTTTAGTTTTTTTGGCTATTTTAGCCTAGGGCTAAAAAGCTTGGTTTGGAAAGGGCTTTTGACTTTTTTGTGAGAGAAAGAATGTAATGATTATGGATTGGATGTGATGTTTTGTCTTATTGGGTTAAAAAACCTATTTTGTTTTTTGTGGCTATTGTTGCAACAATCTTCTGTGTAAATAAAATAAATTGAATCTAAATCAAACAAAATAAAATAAATAACTTACAGAATATATTTTGTCGAACCGAATGAAAAATAAAAGATCAAGTCAAGTGTGTGACACTCTATCCTTAAGACAGATTCGCCCCCGCTACGGTGCTTACGGTTAAATGGCGTCTATCTCCCAAGATACAATGATCTGCACAAATTTGTAGTAGCACTCCAAATAAATTTGTCCGGCGAAATAGAACCTTGTGTTCTAAACTCTCTGAATTTTTTTCTAAAATAATATGAAGAATAATTGATGCAAGAGAACAAAAAGAAGATAAAAGAAATGAATATTTTCGGACTACCAAATGTTGGAACAAATCTAGAATTATATAGACTCGAACAGGTACAAAATTTGAAGTGACCAGATGCAATTTCAAATTGGACAGGTGCAACAGATAACTGCCAGCAGTTTCTATCTGTTGGTAACTGCTGGACAGACTTAAATCTGTCTGGCTGGAACTAAATCTGCCCAGGGTTCAAACAGTTTTGAACTGTTTAATCTGTTTGAATTTCGAACTAGAAATGGACAAAAAATAAATTCAATTTTTGGCACAAAATTTGAATTTTATTTCATTAAAAATTCAAATAAATTTTGTCAAAAAAATGAATATAAGAACCGACCCAACCCACACCCGCACTCGGCCCGGTCGGCTGGTCAGACGGCGGCGCGCGCACGTGTGTGGTGGTTTGGGTTAAGGTTCACTTTGTCCATAACTTCTCCATTCTACAAACTTGGGAAGGGGCCCAACCCAAGTGTTGTAGTTTAGAACTTATATATATACACAAGCTCTCTTAAAGTTTCAATGTGGAACAACCTATTTCAAAGAAACCCATATTTACTTCTTTAACTATTCATTCCACGAACCCAAAAACGACATCAACTTCTCATTCACTTATAAATGGTTTTGACGAACCGTCTTCACCATATGACTTGCCACGCGGCAAGGAACACGTCACCTCTTCGAACCCACCCTAAAAGACGTTTGGGGCCACTCAATTTTGAGCTCAAAGATGACCCAAAATAAGCATATTTAAAACCAATTTTCCAACAACTATTTTAGCTAAAAAAACCCTCCAAACCTATTTCCCAAATAGGCATATAATAATACATATTCTCTCTCATAATGAATACAATAATAATAATAATAATAATAATACATGCCAAGCTTCCGTTACGGAGTTACCAATAAATAATTACAAACGTTAATATACAGAATTCAATTCTTTAACATCTACCATGAAATTACACATAAAAGATACATGAACTTCTTAACTCTCCAACCAATCAATTTGAATTCTCTTCCTGTAAAAAAAATGAAATAACGAGGGGTGAGCACAATTGCCTAGTAAGAATCTCATAGTTCTAAAACAATAACCATCCTATAGATAGAAATGATCATACATGCAGAGTGATACCATATATTAAAGTGATGTTTTGTATGTTCAAAATATTATACGTAGAGTATCTTTTTCTTAAAATTTCATTTGAACATTTAAGAAAACTCCCTGCCACAAATGTTGTCTCTCATCATTAGGAAGCCATAAATTCTCTTTGAAAATAAGTGCACTTAAGAAAGAACATCATCTTAAATTTATTAATCCGCTTCCAAATTATTCCTCATTTCATTTTCGTTTTTCCCTTATACTATTTCCAATTACTACAACTACATAACACCAAAATCCAAATTTCCTTTATATTCAAAAAGATGATCGTCATACACTTAACTCCCACTTGTCTAATGATTACATCACATTAACGTTTACATTATTAATTAGAGTTCAAACATAACACAAGAATAACAAACCCTTTTTAATTCAATTTCTCAATTATTTACAAAACAAAACTCACAATCTTCCCATATAGTCACAAGCAATCCAGTGAGTTCATCATCACCAACCTCTAACCCAATTACCATTTCATTTTCCATTCTTTCAAATAATGTCATATCCAACACCGGATCCATTAACAAGTTATCTCCATGAGTCACACGCTTTACCGGTCACAAGCTGAAAAGAACACGGAACCTCATGCTTTATCGGCCACAGGCCGGAAGGAACACGAAGCCTTAATATACCACACGATTTACCGGGTGCTACTCTGAAAAGAAGGCAAAACCTATTTCAAGTGCCACGCTTTGCCGGCTCAAAATACAACGGGAAACGAACCCCAAGGTAACATCACAATCCATCATTATAATTAGTGGGCAATACCAACACATCTTCCATTATTCCCGTAACACGTTAGTTCAATACACATCCACCATATGTTAAAATTCCATTTACATAACAAGTACACAATATGTTCCAACACCATCTCTATTATCCATCAAATCATTCATTGTTTTTATTACAAAGAGACATAAAGATTCATCTTTAATGTGTTCACAATTCTTGGATTCAAACTAGTTCTTTACTTTTTCATATTATCATCTGAAAAATCTAGAAATCCCCTAGATATTGATTTGTGATTATGTATCAATTTTAAGCAATAAACAATAATCTCAATCAAACAATCAAGACAAATTGATACAACGATTTTAACGTGAAAAAACCACAATTAGAGTGTCTCTAATTGTGATAAAAAAAACCACAGGTAAAAGCCACAAAACAATTCACTAAGAAGACATAAAGGAATTATACAAGTGTACTCTCAATTACCTAGCAAATCCACGCCCGAATCGAACCGACACCTATGTGCTTCTTCCAACCCTATCTTCACCTCGGAATTATCTTGCCTAACGTTGATTCAACAATGCCCATGTCGAATCATGACGATGAGCCACTTCGGAATCCACCAAAGCTTCAGGCCTGAATTCCACGGAATCCACTGAAGAACAACTCCCTCTCTCTCTCTCTCTCTCTCTCTCTCTCTTGTGTTGAATGAAACAAACAATCCTTTGATGTATACTTCTCAAACCATTAGTTAAACTCAAACAAACATCAAAGAAACTAGCAAAGAAGCTCTAGATATAAACCCTAATATCCAAGAAGAAGATCTGGAAGCCTTAACCCTAAAAACGGATGAAACCATATATTTATAGTAAACTGATCTGCGATCTCCGCTCGAGCGCAAGAATGGCCGCTC